TTGTGGGACGATGCGATACTGCGTTTATCTGCGCCACCATTGTGACCGGAAATCCTAGGGTCTTTTTTGTCTGTGATGTCCTTCATTTAGCTCCAGAAAGTTTTCTTCTATTTCTTTTCATTTATTTATTTTATCTGTTTTCTACTAGGATGCATATTATTTCTCTATGTCTAAATGTTTATTTGTGAAATGGAAACAATTGTATCTGTCTCAAGGTTGTTACAAGGATTAAATTAATATGTACCAAATGCTGAAAATAGTGCCTTTCACACAGTAGGAGTATTATAAATATTAGCTGCTGTTAGCGTTTATTTAATCTGCTGAATTGTTTCTTCATGTCTCATCTTTTTTTTTTCCAAATGTCATTTTGCTCTACGTCCTGGGAAATTTTATTAGCTTTTTTTTGGTCTTTGCACCAAATTAAAAAATCGTAAGTGCTATATTTGTACCAAAAGCCCTGTCTTATTCCTTCATTTTCCTTTTTAAAATAATCTTTTTATTCTGGGGCATATCTTGGACCTGAGGACAATGACTCTAGTGTCTTTCTTGTTTTTGTTTTTTCTTTTTCCAAGTTTTCCTGTGGTCTTTTAAATCATTCCTGTCTCCTTGGACTCCTGCAGGTGGGAATTCTTATTGAGCATTACTACTATTTTAAATTATGTTTTTATTGATTTTTTAGAGAGGAAGGGAGAGATAGATAGAAACATCAGTGTGAAAGAGAAATATCAGTTGGCTACCTCCTGCACACCCCCTACTGGGAATTGAGCCCGAAACCCAGGCATGTGCCCTGGCTGGGAATCAAACCAGGAGCTCTCAGTCCATGGGACGATGCTCAATTCATTGAGCCACACCGGCCATATTATTATTTTTAATCCTCACTCAAGGATATGTTTTTATTGATTTTTTTTTTTAAGAGAGAGAGGAAGTGGGGGAAGAAGAGAGAGAGAAACATAGATGTGAGAGAAACATTCCTGAGTTGCCTCCTGTACGCTCCCTGGCAACCTAGGTATGTGCCCTGACCAGGAATCAAACCCGCAACCTTTTGGTGTATGGAACAGTGCTCCCAACAATTGAACAACCGGGCCAGTGCCTTATTTGAGCACTATTTAGAGTAGGGTGGGTTCTTTTGACCAGCAGGCTTCTAGTTAAGGAGATGGGCCTCCCAATTTCCTAAATGAGGAGGGCTTTACTCTGGGTCCAGTTTTGTTTTTTTTTATTCTCACCCAAGGACTTTTTTCCATTTTTTATTCAGATAGAGCAGGAGGGACAGAGAGAAAGAGAGAGAGAAACAGCAACATGAAAGGGACACATCGAGTGGCTGCCACCCGCACGACCCAACCAGGGCCAGGGACAAACTGCAACCAAAGTACATGCCCTTAGCGGGAACCAAACCCGGGTCTCTCTGAACCACAGGCTGATGTTCTAACCGCTAAGCCAAACTGGCCAGGGCTGGGTCCAGGTTTCATCCCATAGGCTTTAGCTTCCTCCAGACAGTTGACTTCTCCTGAGACATGGAATCACCTGGATATCCCCAGAGGGAAGCTTGAAACTGCTTATGCCTGGGATGGTGGTGGGTGGCGGGATGAATTCCCAGGACTGTTGTTCAAGTACAGCCTCTCCATTTATCTTTTTTGTTTTTAAATAACTGCTTTAGTAAAATTACCCTGGCCAGTTTGGCTCAGCGGTTGAGCGTCGGCCTGTGGACCAGAGAGTCTCGGGTTCAGTTCCTGCTAGGGGCACGTACCACAAAAAAATAAATAAATAAAATAAGTTACACATGATAAAATTCTCTCCTTTGATATGTACAATTCAGTGCTTTTAATATATTCATAAAGTTGTGTAACCATCACTACTCTCTCATTCCGGAACATTTTTATTACCCCACAAATAAACTTCTTGCCCATCATTAGCAGTCACTCCCTTTCCCTTTTCCAGCTTCTCTCCTGCTCTTTACTGAATCTGTAGGTGCCATAACCCTAGCCTTTTGGGGACCTGGCACCAGTGGGGCTCTTGCCTGCCTTGCAGTGCCCCCATGGCATGTTCTGGGCTGCAGCTTCCTTTTCCTATTTCCCTGCCCAAAATGGTCTCATTCACTTTTTTCCTTACAAATTTCTCCACTGCTTACATTACCTCCCTCCCCTCTTCACTCTACTGACTCTGTTTCCTATTGTATTTGTCTTACTTTGGTTTCTGTGGGCATCTGCTTGGTCTCTCTCTTCCCTGTCTCTGATAGGCCTTTGGTGAGATACTGAGAAACACACAGCAGGATCTCTTCATTCAGAGAGTTTGTAGTCTGATAGAGACATGGAGATCAGATGTGACATGTACTTTTTATTTTTTAATTTTTTTAAATTTTCTAGAGAGAGAGAGAAACATTGATGTGAGGGTGAAACATCAATCACCTGCCTCCTACATATACCCTATTGGGGATCAAGCCCACAACCCAGGCATGTGCCTTTACCAGGAATTGAACCGGCAACCTTTCAGTGCATGGGACCACGCCCAACCAACTGAGGCACACCAGCCAGGGAGTGACATGTACTCTTGGAAAGATAACTGCCCTCAGCAGAAGTAAGTGACCTGGAAGTCAGAGACCAAGGGAAGCCAGATCTGTCTTTGCTAGGAGGTGGGCTCTGACTTGGGACTTGATGATGGAAGGGAGTTAGACTGGGTGGGGAATACAAGGTCAGGGGGGTGGAGTTGGGAGCAAATCCGCAGACCCCTCCCTTGCCTCTCCTTTCATGTGTCCCTCTGCTGTGGGGGATTGTACAGTGAAGGCAGGCACCCTTCCTCTCTGCTCTGCTTCCACTTTCCTTCCTGGATTCAGATGAATTTAACAAGTATTTGGGTGCTTGCCAGGTGTCCATCCCTGTGCTAGACTTGGGCTTAGAGGGCAGGCTGCAGGGGGCTCGTGATTGGTGGAGTTGGGCAAAGCACTATGCAGACAGATTTTATGCAGCTGGAGAGACCCCACTTGCTCCCTTGGTCTGCTCAAACAGGATCCAGAAGCTCAGAGAGAGGCAGGCCATAACTTGGCCTTCCTGTCCAGGTTACTTCCTGCTCCTCGTCCATCCCCTTACTTTGGTGCAGAATCTGAGGGAGGCATGGCATGTTGCCCTCTCAGCAGTATTTGACATGTTCTTGTTGAATGTGTTTGAAAGGTGTGGCCCCGGGGATGTGACAGTGAATGAGACAGACCTGATATAAGGATTGAGAAAGATGGCCAGAGCTAAGCATGAAAGTCCTGTGATTGAATGACACAGGGCACTGGAGTCCTGTGATAGGGAACTATGACTTGAAAATGGGGGTTGGGGCTCAGAGCAGGGGTCCTGGAGGAAATGATCTGAGAGTTTCAGTGGGGTTGAATCTTAGGTCGGGCTAGGAAGAGATGAGGCTGGAGGTGATGAAGTGCTCTGGAGGCCCCCTTGAGGGGCTCATAGTTGGTCCTGAGGGCAGTGGGAAGCCATCAGGGGACAGTCAGGTTTGCAGTTCAGAATGATCATTCCTGATGCTTAGTAGTGAGCCTGAGGCAGAACGGCTAGTGAAGCACTAGAGTGCTAGGCAGTGGGGTGCATTCCATAGCAATATGGAGGTGGAGCTAATGGTGATCTGTGGGAGATGTAGGAGTCTGTGAGTCCTCATTCCTTGCGTGAGTGGTGGACAGCCTGGGTTCTGAGCTGTGGGACCCTGGAGGAGGTGCAGGTTTAGGGAGGGAGGAATAGATGGCTTGGGGCAGGCTGCATTTGAGGTGCCCTTCTGGTACCTGTGGAGGATATCCAAGGAGCAGAAGAGGACTGGCTGGAATAGAGATTCAGGGCCGAGGTTACCCAAGACAGCTCCCATCTCTGGGGCTGGTACAGGTTTTCCAAGCCTGAGCCACAAGCCCCTGCTCCCCTGGGGTTTGCAAACTGGGGTCCATACAAAGCTGTCTGGCCAGCTCTGCTCTGGACAGTCAAGAACCTCAAGCCTACCCTGCCTGCCAGTTTTTTTTTTTTGATAGATGAGATACATGAGATATTTGAGATACATGATAATAGATGGAATATTTGAGAGCTGAAAATATATTTTTAAAAGAAAAGTCTTAAAATGTTATAAATTAGGAGACTCATGTTTCATTACATTTCATGTACTGTTTTTCAGCAATTTCTGGACTATTTAAACATTATCTGACTGATAACATATAGGTGCATAAAGGTTTTTAACAATTGGCAGGATTTTTTCTTCCAGTAATGGTTGCCTCTGGAGATGGAGGTGTGGAGAACAGGGGTGATTTGATCTGTACTGTTCTGATTTTTTTCTTAAAGGTGGGAGAACAGTATTTTCACATTTCTTGCATAGTGATAGCATATGTGTCAAAACATTGTCCGTGCATTCTGGAGGGTAAGATTGTGGGAGATTATTTTACTTGTACTTTGCTGTTCTAGTTTCAACTTAAAAAAAAAAATTCTGCGGTTAACGAGTCTCTGTTCACATCACTCAGACACCTGGGAATGCTTTTGTTGGGTGTTAAAATGGACCCAGGAGAGAGTTCCAGCTGAGACCAAGCTATCTCCATTTCCTGGCATCAGTTTACATGTTTGAGTGAGCAGTGGAAGCAGGTGGATGCCGTAGAGTACACTGTCCTGCCTGGTCTCCCATGGTCTCCCACAGTCTCCCACTCCACATGTGTCACACTCACTGCCCTGAGTCAGTTTAGCTTGTGTGACCTGTGGCCAGCACTGTCTATTCTGCCTTAGCTAATCTCATGCCCTTTCCCATTCTCCCACCATGGCGTGTCAGGGTCACCTTTCTTCTCCTCTGCTCCTTTGATTCCCCATGACCTCTTTGGCATGGAATTGGGCATGGGATTTAATACTCACAGGGGGAGCTGGCTTCCTGAAAAGCCATGGTCCTGTGGGGCCAATGAGAGGAGGCACAGAGGGTGGTGGGCCTACTGCTGCTGGTGGCTGGGCCTTTAATCAGTCAGGAAGCTGACAGATGCATTTTCCCTTTCTTTTTAGTGTGTAAGGAGCCCCCGTACAAAGTGGAGGAGTCGGGTTATGCTGGCTTCATCATGCCCATCGAGGTGTACTTCAAAAACAAGGTAGGATCCTGGAAGTGGCAACAGGAAGGACACACAATTCACAAAGGAGGAAATAGAATCAGTGACACACGGGTGATGGCATGCTGGGATCACTGGTGGTAGAGATGTCCACACTAGAGCACTGGTGGGCAAAGTGTTTCCGCCTCTCCCGTGGAGGATGGGGGCTGGGGAAATGGGCACCCTGATGGCAGGTGGGAGTGCAAGTGGGTGTGGCTTCTCTGGGGATCATCTGAAAGTGTGTTCAATCCTTAAGTCAGCAGTGACATTCCATGACAGGCCTAGATTCTGTGAATGGTCTAGGGTGTTAGTCACTGGGCTATGACTAGTGGTGAAGACCTGGAAATTACCTAAATGTCTGACAACAGGCGATCAGTTAAAGTTATGGTGCATCTCCTGAATGGGTTCTTTGATGACCTGGGGTAGGGGAGGGGAGTTTTTAATATTGTTAAATGAAGAAGCAACTTATGTGTATATTAGTGGAATTTTTTCCACCAATAAACACAACATAGAAAAAAGGAATTACTGTATAAATTAAAAACGTTAACAGCTAATCTGGGTGGTAGGATTATAAGACATTTTTGTTTCATTTTTCTTCATGTATGTTTTCTAAACATTCACATTGAATGTATGTTGACAACTGTTCATCCATTTGGGCTACTATAACCAAATATTACAAACTGGGTGGCTTATAAACAATGGAAGTTTATTGCTCATAGTTCTGGAGGCTGGAAGTCCAAGATCAGGGTGCTATCCCCTTTTCCTAGTCACAGACTTCTTTCTGTGTCCTTATATGGAGGAAGGGATGAGTGCTCCATAGGGTCTCTGTTTTTTTTTTGTTGTTGTTGTTAATCCTCACCTGAGGTATTTTCCATTGATTTTTTGATAGAGTAGAAGAGAGTGGGGGAGGGGGGGGAGAAACATCAATGTGAGAGAGACATATTGTTAGGTTGCCTCTCACACGACCCCAACGAGCCCAGGTATGTGCAACCCAGGTATGTGCCCTTGATCAGGAATTGAACCCATGACTTCGGTCAGCGGGCCGATGCTCTAACCACTGACCAAGGCTGAGGGGTCTCTTTAATAAAGGCACTAATCCCATTTATGGGGGCTCTACCCTCAGGACATAATCACCTCCCAGAGGCCCCACCTCCTAACACTATCACCTTTGGGGGTTAGGATTTCAGCATATGGATTTTAGGGGGAACACATTCAGACCATAGTTTTAGATTTTTTAAAAGCCTAATAATTAAAATTGAAGTCTCTTCCTGCAACCTGCTTCTGCTGCTTCTCACAGATGCCACCAAGAGGCCATGGTGACCCTTTCTGGCTTGGAGGTGGCTTGGCCATGGTTGGGTACTTTTTCACAAGTACAGCTAGACTGGCTGCAGGCAGCTCTGCTGTTTTTCAAGAAGGAGATCTCCCTGTGTGGCCTGTAGATGCCACCACTCCCTTAATGAGTCCCTTGTTCATACCTGGCTGTTCTGCAAACCACCTGGTATTGAGGGCCTCTGGGAATGGCACTCAGGTGTGCTGCCCCATTGGGAGCTGAGGGATAGTTTAGCAAGTACAGCAAAGTGGGATTCAACTCCATGACCCTCTGGGACCCACTTCTGAGAAGCATGGGTCGCCCAAGGCTTTTGTGGAATTAAGGCCTGCGAGTCCCAATTACTGGCCGTTGAGAACAGAGTCCAGCCTATCTGCAGGCAAAGGCACTGTTATGTCGTTTCAGCAGGGCATCTGGGGAGATGCAGAGGAGATGCTGCACCCTTTGGAGGGCAGTCTTCCAAAGACCTGCATAGGGAGGCCAGACCAGGGAGTATGGAGGCAGAGGAATTGATGCTGAGGACTCCTTGTGGAGAACTTGTGGAAAGGGATGATGAAAGTAGCTCCCTGGGTGGTGGGGGAGGCAGTCCATCTGCAGAAAACACCAGCATTCCTGCACAGTGGTACTCTCGTTGTGAGCGGTGGTGATGGAGTTTTTGAAGCCAGTTAAGCTTATCTCTGAGTTTCTATTAAATTCCTTTGAAGCTTAGGAGCAATTTTGGGTTCCACAGATCAATGAGCTTTTGTGTTCCCTGAGACCTGTCTGGTCTCTGACACGCAGACTTTTCTCTCCCTCCCAGAGGTATGGTGCAGCCACCTGTTCTCTGGCAATGTCCACTAGGGCCCTGGTAGTGTCCACTCGACTTCCTCCTGTCCCCAGGGGTCTGCTCGGAGGCTCCAGCTGCTCCCAGGGGTAGGGGATGCCATGTTAAAGCTGAACAGTACCAAAGATGTGGCGAGTGGGTCTTAACGCCCCTTCTATTGGCCCAGGGGATCCTTGCTGGTCTCCATATTCTCCTGAGAGAATGGAAAGAGGTGGAGTGCTTGGTGTTCCTGCCTTAGCTGGGAATTTCCTCTGTGGTGGCTTCTGCAGCCTCTGTTAGTGCCTCAGACCTCTCATGTGGATGGTGGGGAGGCACACAGATGCTCCCTCAAAAGGGGCACCTGGGGAAGTGGCAACTGCTTGGGGTAGCACTTCTCTCAACCCTTACCTGAGAAGTGTTCACCTGGTTTATGTGTCCAGACTTCAGAGCGATTCCTGTACTGAGTCCCTGAGGTGTTCTACATTTATGTCCTGGTCCCGGTAGGGAAGGGAATAGGTGGCTCTCTGACCATAGAACTTGTCCCTGCTGGGTACATCGTTCTCACATATACTGGGGCATCGAGGGGCAGAGGGCCTCTCCAAGGGTGTCCCGTTCTTTCAGGTTCTTTGGTCTTGCTTATTGGGGGATTGTGCAGTTTGTGTGCTTGTGCGTGTCTTCCATGGGCAGTGCAAGGCCCTGGGCCCCTCTTTAACTGTCTCGTTCCTTTGTAAGGCCCTGAGGTGCTGCCCTTTATAGGGAGCATGTGTGCATACCACCCTGAGCATCCAGGAGTCATGGCAGCAACTGGTTTTGGGTTAATGGTTTTTGTTTTGGTCCATTATTTTTTTTTCTTTTTTAGGATTTTATTTATTTATTTTTTAAGTTTTTTTTTTTTTAATTAATTTATTTTTGTTACAGATGTTTCTCCTTTTTTTCCCCATTGACACCCTTCTCCCCATTTCCCCCAACCCATCCCCAGCTTTGTTGTCCCGTGTCCATCGGTTATGCATACATGCATATAAGTTCTGTGGTTTATCTCTCCCCGCCACCCCCTCTTCCGAGGGTTGTCCGTTTGTACCCTACTTCCATGTCTCTGGGTCTACCCTGATCCTGAGACTGTTATGTTCATTATATTCCACAAATAAGTGAGATCATGTGATATTTGTCTTTCTCTGCTTGGCTTGTTTCGCTTAGGATAATACTCTCCATGGTCCATTTTCTTGAGGTATAATTTAATTCAACAAAATTTTCCCATTTTAGGTGTAGTTTTTTCAGATTTCAGCATGTGTTTTCATTTGAATCCTGTTGGCGGATGGCTGGTTTTTTTGTAACAAAAAAAGGTCACTTTCTTAGGTTTACTGGTCTTACCAATTCCTGTAGAAGCTGTGTAGCAGGGGCCAGAGTGCCGCTGTGAGCCTGTTCTCAGAATTGCAGCGTCTTCTCTCACCCAGGTGAATGCTGGACACTATGCTCTACACACCGCTCGCTGGAGTCCTCTATTCCTGGTGGTGCTTTTGTCCTCAGCTATAAGGTGGGCCCTGCACTGAGAGCACGCAGAGGTGAGGCCACCACACGAGGGGCCTGGGATACAAGTGAAGTCACTAAGTGGGTTCTTAGCTTACTGTGCTAAGTGGTTACTTAGTCTCTAGGCAAGTCCTGGAGGAAGGTGATGTTCCCAGTCTATGGATGAAGGAGCCAGCTCCTGAATACTCAGTCACAGGCTCAAGGACACACAGTAAGTTGCAGAGCTGGGATTTGAACCAGCAGAGTGTGTAGTCCTATATGCATACACACCTAAGACAGGTTTGACCTAGAGCAATAGCTATTCATGAATTCTGGTGTTTGCTGACATCTGGGTGACAGTATGATTTTATGTATTGTACTTGGCAAATGTCTAATTGTGGGTCCCTGCTTTGGAAGTTTTGTAAAGATCAGAAAGTTGTGGAAAAGTGAATAGTGGTTCATTGCAAAAGCAGCTTGTACAGGTTTGGAGTAGTGTTGGAAACAGGGTCATCGTGAATGAATTCACTGATGGTATTTCTACCCTAATGTAGACAAGTGTTGCATTTGGTTTTTAGCCACAACTTACTCTTCCCCTGTAGGTAAGGTAAGTGAATTTTTGAGGTGGAAGTGGCTGCGTACATGTTACTTCTCTGTCTCCATGAGATGTGCTTCCTAATTGTGTCTGCTTCTCAGGGCTGTTAGGAAGATTCACAGAGAGATGTACAGTAAGGTCCCGGCCCCAGTACACAGCACATATTATGCATTTCATACATTTGTATTGTTATTGTTGATGCTGAAGTGGTGTTGCCTCTTTCCAGTTAATCTGGATAAGAGAGGTAAGTGGACATAGCAGCCTTGGAGGCTTTCAGGCCCAGAGGATGTCAAGGTTCCAGAGATGAAGAAAGATGACTTTGGCTTCTCTGGTAAACAGGGTGGATCTACAGTCAGGACAGAAAAGGCAGGCCACTTTCTCATGTAAGCATGAGGTGTGTTAAGACGCACTAGACTCTGAATGTGGCATCAACTGTGAAATGAATTAATTCTGTTTTATATGATGTTTGTCACCATAACATACCCGAGGACACTTTCTGTTTGACCTGTTGGCAGGATGCACTTTTACAGATAAACCATTCCTTTCCCCCAAGGGGAAAAAGATGAGGACAGGGCTTTGTCTGATTACAAAAGTAACCTTTTGCATCATTGAGCTGTTTTTACTCATGCTACTGCTGCCACCAAGTGAGAGGGTTTGTTTTCCTTCTAAAACCAAATGTGCCCTGCCTTTTCCAAAACTTCTCCAGTTCTCTGATTCTCCAGGTACTGGAACGGTATCCAGCACTTCATTCACTTCTCATACCATTCGACTGGAGTTAC